AAATAAAATCAGAAGTGAAAGCAGTGAAGTAAAAACTGACGTCACGTAAGAATTGTGAAAAAAAGTATTATGAACAACTATATTCCAACAAGCTGTACAAGCTGGATAGAATGGACAAATTCCTAGAAACAAACAATATTTCAAAACTCAATCAGGAAGAATCAGAAAACCTGAATAAGCTATTAACAAATAATGAAATTAATGTAATAATAATTAAAGAATCTCCCAGTAAACAAAAGTGCTAATACAGAGGGCTTCACAGCAAAATTTAACCAAACATTTAAAGAAAAACTAATAACCTGTCCTTCTCAAATTATTGCAAAAAGTTCAAGAAGAGGGAAGACATCCAAGCTCTTTTTATGAGGCCTGCATTGTCCTAATTCCAAAACTAGATAAAGACACTACAAAGAAAGAGAATTACAGGCCAATATCCCTGATGAACATTATATTAGCAAATTGGATCCAGCAAAACATTAAAATGACCATACACTACAACCAAATGGGATTTATTCCTGGGATGCCATGTTGAGTTGATATTTGCAAATCACATGATCATATCAATAGACAGAAAAAGCATTTGATAAAATCCAGCATCCAATTATGTTGAAAACTCAGCAAAGTGAGAATAGGTTACCATACCTGAATGTAATAAAGGCCATATATGACAAACCTACGGCCAACATCATAATCAATGGGCAAAAACTACAAGTGTTCCCCTTAAGATCAGGAACAAGACAGGGATGGTCTCATTCACCACTCTTGTTCAACCTCATACTGGAAGTCTTAGCCACAGTGATTAGACAAGAAGAAAAAAGGCATATGAATTGGAAAGAAGGAATAAACTTGTCGTTATTTACTGATGACATAATATTATGCAGAGAAAAACCTTAAAGATTCCACTAAAAACTTGCTAGATTTAATAAATGAATTTAGCAATGTAGCAGGACACAAAATTAGCATCTGGAAATTGGTGGCACTTTTATATAACGATAATGAATTCTCAGAAAGAGAAACTAAAAAAAAAATTCAATTTACCCTTGCAACAAAAATGATAAGATACCTGTTAATAAGCTTAACCAAGGAGGTAAAAGACCTGCACTTAGAAACCTATAGGACATTGAAAAAGGAAACGGGAGGATACAAACAAGTGGAAGCATATAGCATATTCATGGATTAGAAGAATTAACATCATTAAAATGTCCATACCACCCAAAGCAATCTATATATTCAATGCATTTCCTATTAAAATACCAATGGCATACTTCACAGATTTAGAACAAATATTCCAAAAGTTTATATGGAGCCAAAAATGCCTGAATAGCCACAGCAATCTTGAGAAAGAAGAACAAAGTTGGAGGAATCTCAATACCAAATGTCAAACTATACTACAATACCATTGTAATCAAAACAGCCTGGTAATAGCATAAGAACAGGTATATATAGATCAATGGAACAGAACAGAGAACTCAGAAATTGGCCCACACCATTATGGTCAATTAATATTTTACAAAGGAGGCAAGAACATACAGTGTAGTAAAGACAGTTTCTTCAATAAATAATAGTGGTAAAATTGGGCAGATATATGCAAAAAGTTGAAACCAGACCACCAACTTTTAGCATACACAAGAATAAACTCAAAATGGATAAAAGACTAAAATGTAAGTCATGAAACCATAAAAATCCTACAAGCAAACATAGGCAGTACAATCTCAGACATCTCATGTAGCAGGATTTTCACTGATACATCTGCTAGGGCAAGAGAAACAAGGAAAAGAATAAACAAATGGGACTACATCAAACAAATGATCTGCATAGCAAAGGAAACCATTATCAAAATAAAAAGGAAACCCAATATCTGGAAGAACATATTGGCCAATGATACATCTAATAAAGGGTTAATTTCTATAACATACAAAGAACTCATACAACTCAACACTAGGAAAACAAACACTCCAATTACAATATGGGCAAAAGATCTGAATAGACACTTCTTCGAAGTGGACATACTTATGGCCAGTAGACATATGAAAAATTGCCAAAATCACTGTTCATCTTAGATATACAAATTAAAACCATAATGAGTCATTACCTTATACCTGTCAGAATGGCTACGGTTAATAAATCTACAAATAATAACTAATGGCAAGGATGCGGAGAAAAGGGTACCCTAGTATAGTGCTGGTGGGAATGTAGATTGGGGCAATCACTGTGGAAAGTGATATGGTGTTTCCTCAAAAAATTAAAAATGGAACTGCCTTTTGACCCAATGATCCTTCTTCTGAGAATATAACCTAAGAATCTTGAAACGCCAGTCAGAAAGAATGTATGCACCCCTATGTTCAGAGCAGTGTTATTTTACAATAACTAAGATCTGGAAGCAGCCCAAGTGCCCATCAGCAGATGAGTGGATAAAAAGCCCTGGTACATTTACACAATAAAAAGTATATGACTATGAAAAAGAAAGAGGTCTTACCCTTTGAGATCATTATATTAAGCAAAATAAGCCAGTGAGAGAAAGACAAATATCACACAATCTCACTTATATGTGGAATCTAATAAACAAAATAAACTGATGAACAGAATAGGTCCAGAGGCATAGATGCATGGAAAAAATCTGGCAGATGTCAGAGGGAAAGGGCGTGGGGGGGATGTGGGAGGAGATTAACCAATGAAGTTATGTGCAATATGCATATATTCATAACCATGGACACAGACAGTAGGTGAAGGCCTGTGGTAGGGTGGGGGCTGGGTGGAGGGCAAGAGAGGAGGGGAAATGGGGACATCTGCAATACTATCAACAATAAATAAAAAATAAAAAGAATAAATTAATATATTGAAATTTTGAGTAGTGCCTCATACTTGCTCTGATTGTTTTGATCTCTCCAGCCAAGTATGTTTTGGTAGAATGTGAAATTTAAAGTGGGTTATGTGATATGGCCATCAGCTATCCACATTTAAGGACCTATTAGGTAATTATTATTTAGCTTTTGGAGGACAGATTTAAGTTAGTGAATTTTAAAGTAGGTAGGATTTTTTGTTTTGTTTTAGGAATCATTTTGAAGGATGTATGCAAATATAAAATTGTTTTTCTTTCTCATATTTATGAATAGGTTTGTATATCTGTATTATAAACACATAAAAACATATGCGGTTGGATCTTTTTATAAAAATACCTACAGTTGCAAGGACTCGATTACTTAGTAATTCTTTTTATAAATAATATTATTTAACCTTCAGATATAAAATCTATTAAGGAAGTAACTTACTTGGGAACTTAAACAATCCATTAGACTTGTTCTTTTTTTCCTTTTAGTTTATTCTGGAAATTGCAACATTTCGCATTTTGCAGTTTAATTTAAAAGGATTGCCTATTTTCTTAAACACTTAAGCAGGGAAGCAAGTTGCAGTTATTGATTTTTCTCTGCATGTATTCTGTGAAAGCTGTATTTGCTCCTTCCCCAGGGACCATACCTCTGAACTGCATGCATGCTGGTGACAGCTCAGACCTCTGATACATAACCAAAGACCTTGCCTAATATCCTTGCAACTGCTCGGGGAATTTTTATTAAGTGAAAGCGTCATTAAAGTAGACAGGATGATGAAGTTTAATGAGCATCTTTTGTGCATGAGATTGTTAGTTTTGGTCTGCCAGAATCCTTGTTTCTGTCCTTCAGTGGGGCAGAGAGCGAGTCTAGAATATATGGCATATTTTAAAATCTGCTTTATATTTTATCTTTTTGTGTAGGTTAACATCTGTTCTAAACAAGCGGTTGTGTGTATATGTGTGTGTGTGTGTGTGTGTGTGTTTTGTGTGTGTGTGTGTGTGTGTGAGTGAGTGAGTGTTTGGCTATTTATGTGGATGCCATTGACACACGTATGGTTATACTTTTTTTTATACTGTGTGTTGGTTATAATGTGAACGTGAAAGACACATATTACTGTTAGTGAATTACATGGAACCTCACTTGGTTTGATCTCCAAAAACCATTGCTTTTTGAATTAATGAGACTTCTCATGAGAATATGCTGTTAATTTTTTTTTTCTTTAAGACTCAGCAGTTTATGTCACCAGCCCCTCAAAGCTTCTAGATGGAATAAAGATATTCCAAATGCTTATTAATAATCTCAGCTTCTCACTCTGTCCACAGATTTATTTGTGGAGATTCTAAATTTAGCACCCTACCATAAGATTACAGAGTATAAACAAAATTATTTCTCTTCTTCATTGTCACTGGCCATACACTTAGACTTTTAAATTGGTTCTTTTCCTGATCAGTGTAAGGACTTTCCATGGAAACCCCTAAAACAAAATGAGGGAGGCCGATGACGTGAGCACATGACTTAAGAACAGCATATTGTACCTCTCACATACCTGGCATCCTGAAACACAATATTTACCTAGCACACATGTGCTTCTAGCAGTTCCTGAGTATACAGAATCCAGTAGCAGTGAAGTCAGTTTGCATGAAAGTGGACAGCCTATTAGGAAGACAGAACAGAAATCTACAAAGTTGGGAAACAAGATAATTTGGTGAATCAAGAGTTTGACCTTTGGGAGTGATTGCCTGGGTGGTTTGATCAGGGCCTAAACTTGCTAAACCTCGGGTTCCTCATTTGAAAAATGAAGGCAGTAAAGCCCCCACTTCGTTGGATTGCTGTGACAGTGAATGTTGAACAAACGGTAGCCACATTTTAATGTGTCCCTGAAAAGGTACTCTTCTGATACTTCGAAATAACAAGCCAGGAGCCGGAATCACTTTATGTATCATCAAGGACTTAATGGTGAAAACCTGATAAATCCCACAGAAATCGAAGGTACAGGGAAGTGGAGGAGACTGTAGAATGCCTAAAAATATGAATGAGATCTGAATTACAGAAAGGACTCAGACAGGCATTCCCAGAAATAGTGACGCAGATCAGCAAAAATGGACCAAAAGTGCAGGCGGCAGGAAGGCCAGTCCCAGGCCTCGGGGTGATTCAGCACTTTTGTGTTTTTCACAGCACTTCAGTGAACTGAAGCAAGGCTGATGGTCAGATCCACCTGAAAAGCAGGCGTGCAGGTACTCCCATTTGCCAGCTAGCATAATAGATATTCTGGAAAGAGATGCAAGTCTAGGTTACTCAACTAATGCGTGGCGGAACTCGCACTCAGTCCCTCTCTCCTGCACTCCACGCTGCCTGCCTCCAGACCAGCCTTACTCTACTCAGGTGTGTTAGTGAGCAGAGGTGAGGTTGGGTAAGTGAAGTGCGACTGTATGCCATATACCAGGCTGGGTACTTGATCCCATGGGCAGGGGCTGCTGATTTTCATGAATAAACCAAAGAGAGAGTATTCGGTCACTTGTGTGTAGGACACATTAGAGGAGGGAATAGAACAGCATAAGGGAGACAAAAATGAGATCCATTATAATAATCTAATGGCCATGTGATAGGGGCCTGGATTGGCATAGACTCTATGCCATAGAGGAAAAGAATGGATACGATCATTTGGTGATGAAAATATGAATATCCACCAGAAAGCAACTAAAATCAACTGAGTTATGAATCTTTTGAGAAGCTAATGAAATGTTCCCCTTCTGCTGAAAAGTTCAGCTTTGCTTGGAGCTTCAGATACTTTCCTGGTGCCAGGCTACGAATGTCTTTTGTAGAGGAAGTGCTGGTCAAACTTGACTCACGTGGTGATGGGGAAAAGAAGCAGATGTCAAAATGACTTCAGTGACTGCAGTTTTGACCCTGAAAGTCTGGAGACATAGAGGGACAGACTAGGAGTCGGGGAAGAGACCTGTTCTGTGCTTTGTTTGCGTTTTAGAGCAACGTGTCCAAGTGGGAAACAAGGCACAGCACGGGTTGAAGGTGGCAGTGACTCAGAGGGCTGCTGCTCAGAAATAATAGTTGAAGCTATAAAATTAGATGGTTGTTCCAGGGAAGAGAACACAAAAAGATAAATGAGGAGACCCAAAAATCAAAGAAGTGCAGCCAGGATAGTGCATTGTAACCAAGGAGGCAATTTTGAAGAAGGAATGGGGTGGTCCATGCTGGTCCTCACTGCTACAGCCAAGAAGGGATTGAGGGTCTGCAAGAGAAATGATAAGGCATACAGATTTTTTTTCTAAAAATGAAGATACATGTAGTAAATAAAATGTACCTATCAATAATAGAAAAGCATGCTTACCATCCTGCTTAATATGCTAATTCTTTGTAAAATGTATTCTGATTTTGGCATACTGAGCAGACTTAGATGAACACAGGCAGAGTGTTCAGCTGCATGGAGCTTAAAGTGGCCAGTGTGCAGGCTGCTGGCACAGGATGCCTCAGGAGGGTCAGGCTGGTGACCCCAGCAGTCCCTGAATCATTTCAGGATGATTCCTCTAGTGGCAAGGAGTCTTGGGGTGACTGCTCAGGGCAGGGCCCATTCCCAAAGGGACAAATAGAGAGCCCTCGGGGCCTAGTGGTATTGGCTCGCTCATGACCCACCGCAAGGGCATGCACACACACACACACCTTGCCTTCTGTATTCTCTTCAGCCACAGGAGCCTGTTCATTGGGCCCCGAAGTGAAATGGACCCTTTCCTGTTGTTTTAGGTTGTTCTTTTTTGGGTTTGTTTTTTTTTTCTCCTCCATCATCTCTCACTGATCATCTAGAAACCTCAGATTTCAGGGGAGAGATTTTCTAGGACTCTGTGCCATAGGTTCCCTTCATTTTCTTGGTTAAAGAGTTTGCCCACTGGCAGTGGCTGCCCTATTAGTGACCTTGAGCCAGGCTCCCTTTGCCAACATTCTCAAGCTGGCATGGCCGATTTCATTGCCCACCAGAATCCCCACTGAGAAGGGATGGATGGCAGAGCAAGCAGCATGCCTGTCTGTGCTCTGTGCATGAGGCAGCGGCTGAGGAGTGGAAGGAACTGGCCGTCTTAGCCTGAGTCATGGGCCTTCATGAGAGGTTAAAGTGGTGTAGCAACCTGGAACACCTGGTATGTGCCTGAATAGATAAGACCTTGTCTATGTCTGAGTTAATCTTCTCCGAAGTTTTGTGAGATAGCTGCAAATTTTTATCCTCATTTTGCAAATGAGAACATCAGACTGTGGCAAGTTAGTCTCTTGCCCAAAGTCACACATGTTCAGAGCCAGACAGGGTTTCGGGAGGAGAGGTAAGTGAAGGCTGGGCCTGTCTCCGGAGATCCTCAGGGCAAGCGGGGCAGTCCACCTGAGCAGAGTGCGGAGGGGTTGTGCTGGTCTGGGAAGGGCCTTGTGCCAGGGTCTCAAGGATGGTTAGCATTTCCCAGGTGGAGGAGGTGGAACAGGTCCAGCACCTGTAGTCACCAAGGCCCTAAGGGGAAACGTACTTCACAAGAGGGAGGGTATGGGTAGTCAGGAGGACAGAAATCCACCCCATAGGCTCTGGGCTCTATTAACTGTGTCTTTTCTATATTTTATGAAGCTTTGACTTATGGAGGTCTTGTTGGCTAGGGAGAGGCTGCCTTTTCCAGGGCTAGGTAATTCCTAGGGACAGTATGCCTGAAAGTGCCTTCCACATACAAACCAACCACTCCACAGCCCGTACCCCTAGCCACCCCCTTTATCTAACGCTCACAGACCAAGACAACACTTCCCCTCCTCTCTGCACTGGACAAGTAGACCAGCCCTGTGGCCCAGAGACACTGACACTATTCCAACTGTCCAGCTCCAAACTCTCCCCAACCTGCCTGCTCTGCCTCACCCACTCCTCTCCAGGCCCTGCTCTCTGCTACACTCCTTCCGTCTCCTGGCCCACCCTCGTACTTCCCCACGTGGCCTGCATGGTGTGATGTATCCCCCTCCTGTCAGGAACTGCCCATAGTAAACCTTCTTCCAGGGAAATGACCTCTCTGTCATTGCTCAGTGACCCTCCATGACCCTCTATAAATTAATCCCAGATACATTCAAAACACGAGCCGGGCGTGTTAGCTTCAGAGAGTAGAGGGGGCCGGGACCATCCAGTCTAAACACAGTGAAGAGGGGACAGTTTGCCAGCCTAGTCCCCTTCTCTTGGTAGAAACAGTCCCCATCATTCCTTTGGGTACACTTCGAGTCTTTTCTGAAAGTAGTTTTTCACTTTCCCTTCTTTTCAGTGCTACCCCAGACTGTTTCTATTTTTTTTTTTTCTGCTTAAATTAAGCAGCATCTTCCTGGTAGGATGCCCTGTGTATGATCCAGAGGGCTTCACTTACTGTATGAGTTCCCTATTGCTGCTGAAACAAGTGACCATGAACGTGGCATCTGAAAACAAATGTATCATCTTATAGTTCTAGAGGTCAGAAGTCTGAAATCCAGGGGTCCACAATGTTGCTTCCTCTGGAGGCTCTAGGGGAGAAAACATTTTCTTCCCTTTCTTGCTTCTGGAAGCCACCTGCATTCATTGGTAGGGGCCCCTTCCACCATCCTCAAAACCAGGAAGGTCACAGGCTCAAATATCTCTCTAACCTTGACCCTCCTGCCTCCCTCTAGGACTCTTGCCATTCCCTTGGGCCCTCCTGGAAAATCCAGGTTAATTTTTCCAGCTCCAGGTCCTTAACTTCATCACCTCTGCAAAGTCTCTTTTGCAATGTAATATATTCACAAGTTCCAGGGACTAAAAGGTGGACATTTGGGGGCCATTATTCTGACTGCCGCACTTCTCAAATGGAGGCCCCATGACTAATCACTGGTAGGGCCAAGAATGGAGTCTGACGCTCTGGATCCTGAGACACTTGTCCTTGCTGCTCTGCCACAGTGACGTCTCCACGTGGGACTGGCCTCTTGGTAAAGCGGTGACTTGCATCTGCCCACAGAGCTGGGGGAGTGAAAGGATCACGCAGAGAAGGGAGGGCAATGTCATGCCAGCTCTGCGGTGACTCACCCAGGAAGTGGGGCTCTGCATTTAGCTCTGCCATAGTTGCTTGCTTAAAAGGGGATTAAGACCTTTCTTCCACAGATGCTTGGGGGTTTGTGTTGATAGAAAACACCTTATTATTTTTTTTCCCCCACAGGAAAAATCCCTTAAGAAGTAAAGTAATCATATAATTATCTGTATTTAATCTCTCTGACTATAACCCTATGTGGGCCCTATTTTTCAACAGGCATTTGCTGTCCCCATGCAATAGGTTTGTCATGGTGACACCCTGCAAGGAAAACCACATCATTTGGTTTTTACAAATGGAGAAACCGAGGCATGGTGAGAGAGAGAGATGCTGATCATTTGACCAGAGTCAACAACCAGGGGGTGACACAGCTCAGATTTAAATACATCCGGTTCAGCTGTGCATCTGGCTCTTCATAGTGTGCAGCCCCAGGAAGTTCAGACACAAAGTGGGGTCTGCATAGAAAAAGGCAGAAATGGAAACTTTGAAATATTCCAGTTCCTCTCTAAAAAGAGGAGCCTTGCTGAGTCCCGAGAGCTTTTGCACCCTCTTCTGAAATGACTTTGCTAGATAACCGCTGTCAGGGTCCAGGTAACCCCCATCCCTTCTGGGAAGCTTCAGGCCTCCAGGGAGGACCTGGTACAGCAGGCCACAGCAAATCTTGCTTCGTCCTCCCGCCTTTTTTGTCATTACCACTTTCTAGCGCCTCAGTGCTCCTGCATTTCCAAGTGAGGTACCATGGCATTGCATTCATGCAGGTTTTTGTAACTTTTAAAGTTTGATGTTGTCTGTGAGTAAGAACATGTATCCTTTTTTCCCTTTTGGGGATAAGGACTCAGTAGAGGAGAGCTGCATGAAGCTATAAGAAAGCTGGAAAAGCAACGATTCTGGGGCCATGTGAATGCACTGAGTAGACTCAGATCTCTGCTTTGTGCCCAATGAGAGGAGACTAGAGACCAGAGGCCTCCCTCCTGGCACATCACACTGAGCACAAAGCCCCTGAGCTTGGGGAGGTCAGGATGGTCGTCCATAAGAATGCTTCAGAGAGCATGTGATCAAGGACTATGATCAACAAGTCTACTTTGGCTCAGAGTTTCCTCTCCCTGTTAGATGCACCTGGGAGGGATCTAGGAGGAATGAGAGAAGGGGGTGGGGGGCGGGGTGTAGGTCCTCCCCGCCCCAGTAATGCAGGATAATATTCCTATCTCAAGATCTTTATTTAATCACCTCTGCAGAATCTCTTTTGCCAGTAAGGTGGCAATCATAGGTTCCAGGGATTGGGACAAGGACATCCCTAGGGTTGAGGTGGCCATGCCAGTAAAGCTGAACTGGCTGGACTTGCCCCTTTGCCTAAACCAGTGGCCCCTGGTGTCCATGATGTAGACTTCAGGGAAACCAGGGCATTTGTAAAGTGTGAGGGAGAGGGGCAAACACAGGTTTAAGAATCTTTTTCTTGGTAGCAGAGCCTCTTGAGGAAGGAGGAGTTTTTCCTGTAGAAGCACAGGGTGGCCCCTGTTGGCCTGGGTAGGCCTGGGCCTCTCCACTAGATTTAGCAAAAAGTCTAAGCACTTACAGAAGTTGAACGCTAATTTGCAGGCTCAAATGTTACCTGCCCAGGACATGTGGTACCTCTTTTACCCAACAGATGGCCCTCTGCTGCACCTGGCTGGGTGTACGAGCTCCAGCCTCTGGCCTGTCCCCAGCCATATCCAGGTACTGAGCTCCTGGAGCAGAGACCTGTCTTCAGATCACTATTGGTCTTTAGACCACTTTTAAGAAGATGCTTGGAAGCTTCTGAAAAGGCAGAATACAGGATCACCTATCAAAACCCTAATGTCCAGCTTTCCCCAAGCACTGGGTCAGTTGTGCCAGGTCCACCCCTCAGCTGGCCCACCAGTGTCATTGAGAGATATGTACATGCCAAGTAGTGCTGCACTGTTGCTGGTGAAATGTGAGCGCCAGGGCGGGTGTCGCTTCCTTGAGTGGGCCTTAGAATTGGGGAGAACTTGAATATGGAGGGCAGACTGTGCGCCAGCCCTCCTCGGTTGGCACAAGTCAGTTGCAACAAGCAGAGTCAGGCAGTACCTTTCCCATAGACACTGGGCACCTGCCGGGCTCCTGGGGACACAGTTATATCAGTAAGGAGAATTGAGGTTGGGCTGTGTTTATTTTAGGGTAGCTATTAATTCAGTTTAATCAGAATTACTCATAAATTATCGATTAATTACTATCTGCTGTTCATTTCAATCCTCTCAGCCGCAGAGCTAGCTTGCTCTGCGACGGATGCCATCGCTGTAATTGCAGGGTTCTCTGTCAACATTTAATCAGCGGTACTTATTAACGCGACACTGATGTGTGGTCGCCACTACAGCCCTATCCATCAGGCCTGAGCAGCCAGCGCGGGCTCGGACACCATTGCTCTCTGTCACATTATCCAGCCCCTGAGCTTTCGGGCCGGGCAGGATGCTCACTTCACTAAATGGATACTCTGTCTCTCCTGTTCTGCCCAATTTTTGTCATTGTCTACTTAAACACTTACAGCCCTCGGAGCTTCTCTCTGGGATGTCTGGGCTAAGCATTATCAGTTCTCACAGCCCTGTCTCTCTCCCTTCAGTGTTTTTGCAGCCCGCCCAATGACTGTGAAATTCCAGAACTGGACCTCCTGGAATGTTATCTGTGAGTGTGTGTGTGTGTGTGTGTGTGTGTGTGTGTGTGTGAGAGAGAGAGAGAGAGAGAGAGAGAGAGACAGAGAGAGAGAGAGAGAGAGACAGAGAGAGAGAGAGAGAGAGAGAGAGAGAGAGAGAGAGAGAGAGAGAGAGAGAGAGAAATGGAATTTTTAATTCTTAAATACAGTGTATGACCCAGAGAGAGAGAGAGAGAGAGAGAAATGGAATTTTTAATTCTTAAATACAGTGTATGACCCAGAGAAAAGCAGTTGATCTTTTGGGGGTTTTTTTTGTTGGTTTTTTTTTTTTTTTTTTTTTTGGCTTAGTGAGCATTCCTGGAGAGGAATCTGTTGTTTAAAGCACTACCGGTACAAGCATGTCTTGTGTTAGGAAGGGAGAGCTCACAATTTCTCTCTCTCTTTTCAGTCTCTACGGCAGACACATGCAGGCAAATCCAGAACCACCGAAGAAAAATAATGACAAATCGAAAAAGATCAGCCGGAAACCCCTGACGGCCAAGAATAAGTAAAGGGTTCGCGTGGCCTGGACTTTGGACTTCTGGTCTCTTTTTTCGTTATTGCTTCTGTTCTCTCTTGCTCTGTCCCACAAGCAAATACAGTTAACCCCTGAACAACACTGGTTTGAACTGAATGGGTCCACTTATTCATGGAATTTCTTCAATAAATACTATAAATGTATTTCTTCTTATGGTTTTTCTTAACAGACTTTTTCTCTAACTTTATTATAACAATACAGTATGTAATACATATATGGAATATTTGTTAAACTGTTTATGTTATCGGTAAGTTTTCTGGTCAAAAGTAGGCTATTAGTATTAAGTTTTTGGGGAGTCAAAAGTTATATGTGGTTCTAGCCATTTTGGCTCAGTAGATAGAGCGTCAGCCTGCAGACTGAAGGGTCCTGGGTTCAATTCCTGCAACCTTTGTTGCAGGTTCGATCCCCAGCCCTGGTTGGGGTGTGTGTGGGAAGCAACCAGTCAGTGTGTCTCTCTGACACTGATGTTTCTTTCTCTCTCTCTCTCTCTCTCTCTCTCTCTCTCTCTGTCTCTGTCTCTGTCTCTGTCTCTGTCTCTGTCTCTGTCTCTCCCCTTCCCTTCCACTCCCTCTAAAATCAATATCTTCAGGTGAGGATTAACAACAACAAAAGTTATATGTGGGTTTTTAGCTGCATGGGAGTTGCGAGGGGTTGACATTTTTCTTCCTAACATTTACCACTTTACCTTTTAATTTCTTTTGGTAGGTGGTAGATGGTAGATTTTTGTAAGTTCTTAAAACCATTTCCATTTTTTTTTCTTCTTAAAATTACCAAAGGTGGGAAAGAAAGCTCTAATTCAACTGCGAATTCCAGAGTAGGCACACGTTTCAGTTCCTTGAATAGGTGTTCACAAAGCTGCTTGTTATCCAAAGAATAATTAAATCATGTAATCATTTAATGTCACAATGAACACAGTTCACTCTTCTGTTTATTCACATAACTCATTCTTTTGCGTTATTAAAAATGTTCCTTCACCACTGAGATGTTATGTTAACTTAACTTACAAATGATTTTAATAAAATCTTGAATTTGTATCATGTGTTTTTTCTTGAATAAAGAACAATCTGCTCTTATGTATATACACATTTTTTACTTTTTACTGCAAATTTTCTTGTCCACTTTTATTGGTTATAGATAATAAATTCTGAAACTTTCCATGAAAAAAATACAAAATTAGAGCTAGTTTCTTCTCACATTGACTTGTCAGTTGTTTTGTTTTTGACTGTTGCTAATTTAGGAAGAAGCAGAAAAACAGATCTCGGGGAGATTCTGCCAAAGGATTTTGGAAAGGAGCATTTTTTAGCTAAAGAAATAGTGACAAATGGTGACTTCTCCCCATGGCTGGCAGTTAAGAGCTGTGAAACGGAGAGAGAAAAAAGCTCAAGTATGTTTCTTGTCACTGCAGAAAATCCACTCATATCAAAGGGGATTTAGTGATGCCAGAGAAGTGTAAATGCACACACTCTACCCCACACCCAGGTAGAAACTGCACTCGCAGAGTCACCCAGCACTGATTGTCTAACAGCTGTGACAGGCAGCTTTGTTCTTATCAACAGTAACACATGTGTAAGTGAAAATATATCCCAGCAGCATTTTTGTGCTTAAGAGGGCTGCCAACACCGGAATGCCTGGAAACAAAAGGTGTGTGAAGATGTAACGTACTCCAGAATGGCTGTGGATCTACACCAGCACCATCGCCTTTCGCAGTGGAATCCCCAAGGCCAGGACCACTGGGACATGTAAAAAGCCAAATTCAAAATACAACAAAAAATCCTGTTACTTAGGAAATGTATGAATGAGGGAGGCCGCCAATCAAGATCTTATTTCTGGATCAGTCCCTGGTGGAACATTGGCTGTGGGAAGAGCAGTCCCCAGTTGCCAACACCTGTTTGAGAGTCCAGTTGATGTAATTTTTCTAGGTGCAGTCTTTGCCTCAGCCTAATTTTTTAAATTGATTTTTTAGCTCATGAAATTGTAAGAGGAAGAACAGTGCTTCACTTGTTGATTGGAAGGACATCTAAAATTAAATTAACAACAAAACAAAATAAAATATATGATACTTAGTTTAATATGATGTTTAACAAAAATATCAGTATACTCCTATGAATAATTTTTTTAAAGCATGAACAATCTAGGTAGAAATATGGGTAATATATATAACTCCAAAAAATGTGCAAAAAAAGCCCAGACTCACTAGTAATAAAAAAATAAAGCTAAATCAAACAATGTGTAACAATGGAATATATGCAGTCATTTTAAAGATAGTATTGATAGAGGACTAACATGAGATAAACATTCTTATACATTGCTATTGGGAATAGAAATTTCCAGATAAATGGTAGCAATTTGGCAATAAGTAGCAAAACTTCTGGAAAAAGGTGGGACATTTCTATTTGAAAATATTAGTTTTGATAACTGGGAAGAATAAAGGAATGGAACATAGGGGTGTGACTATTTCTTTTTTTAAATTCTCTCCCCCTTGGCATCCATCAATCAGCACGTTCTATATATCTGTGGGTCTGTTTAGTTTTGTTTATTCACTTATTTTGTTAATTAATTTTTAGATTTGACTTTCAAGTGGAATAATACAATATTTTTTTTAATTAGTGTTTTTGTTTTCTTTAGATAAATGCTCAAAAGTGGAATTGGTAGATTGTATAGTAGCTGTATTTTTAAATTTTTGAGGATCCTTCATACTGCTTTCCATAGAGGCTGTACGAGTTTACAATCCCACCAACAGTGTATAAAGATTCCCTTCACATCCTTGTCAGTCTTTTTTTTTTTTTAATATATACTTTTTATTGTTGACAGTATTACAGAAATTTCCAATTTGCCCCTCCTCCTCCCAGCCCATACTAACCTATTGTCTGTATCCATGGGCTATAAATATGTGTATAAGTTCTTTGGTTTATCTCTTCTTGTTCCTTGTCAGCACTTCTTATTTGATTTATTGATGATAACCATTCTGATAGGTGTAATTTGATAGCTCATTATGGTTCCAGTTTGCATTTCCATGATGATTAGTGAAGTTGAGCATCTTTTTTTTTTTTAAATATATTTTATTGATTTTTTACAGAGAGGAAGGGAGAGATATAGAAACACTGATGAGAGAGAAACAGCAATCAGCTGTCTCCTGCACACCCCCTACTGGGGATATGCCCACAACCAAGATACGTGCCCTTGACTGGAATCGAACCTGGGACCCTTCAGTCTACAGGCCAACGTTCTATCCACTGAGCCAAACCGGTTTCGGCTTGAGCACCTTTTATATAGGTCTATTAGCCATCTATATGTCCTCTTCAGAGAAATGTCTATTCAGGTCCTCTGTCCATTTATAATCAGATTATTTTGGTGTTAACCTGTATGAGTTTCTTATGTATTTTGTATGTTAACCTTTTATCAGATATATCATTTGCAAATATCTTCTCCCATTCAGTAGGTTATCTTTCATTTTGTTGATGGATTCCTTTGCTATACAATTTTTTTTAGTTTGATGTAGTCCCATTTGTTTATTTTCTTTTGTTTCTCTTGCCCAAGGAGATATATCCAAAAAGATATTACTAAGATCAATGTCGAAGAATTTACTGCCTATGTTTTTGGATGGTAGTTTATGGTTTTGGGTCTTAATTTAAGTCTCTTACCCTTTTTTTTTTTTTTTTTGTATATTTTTGTGTAAGAAAGTGGTCCAATTTCATTTCTTGTGTACTTGTCTAGTTTTGCCAACACAAATTGAAGAGACCATCTTTACCCCATGGTGTATCTTTACCTCCTTTGTCATAGACTAACTGACATAGAGTGGCTTTATTTCTGGGTTCTTTATTTCATTCGCATGTGCGTGCATGCGTGTGTGTGTGTGTGTGTGTGTGTGTGTTTATATGCCAGTACCATACCATACTCTAGCTTTGTAGTGTAGTTTGATATTAGGGAGCGTGCTACCTTCAACTTTATTCTTCCTCAATATTTCTTTGGCTATCCTAGGCCTTTGGTGGTCTATATAAATTTTCGGATTTGGTCTAAATCTAAAAAGAATGATATTGGTATTTTAGAAATTAATTGGATTGAATCTATGTTTTCTTAGGTGTAGACATTTTATCTTTATTCTAATCTATGAGCATTTTTTTGTATCTTGTTTAGTTTTTTTCTTTATTGTCTTTTGTTTTTCAATCTATCATCTTTTTAGTTAAATTCCACATCCTCACCAGCATTAATATCTCTTGGGTTGTTTTTTATGTTCTCCCACACCAGAGAGCATCCCAGTCTCCACATCCACAGAACCAGTCTGGTCCGTCTCTGGAGGCACCGGTTCTTGATGCTTCCACCCTGCATGCTCTGAAGTTGGCATTTTCTGTGAAAAGTTGTGGTCAGCATACCTGGCTGGTTCCTGCCCAGGAGGAAAGCAGGAGGCAGCCCATCCATTCATAACTCCCCCTGAGCACCATCCAAAATATCCCTGCTACGCCAGGCGGCCGGCCGGTCTTGCTGGCTGTGGGCTGCTGTATTTGTTACTGTGCAGCCACTTTTTCAATCACTCCGCAGCCATAAGACAGAGGCTCCCATTACAGAAGGCCCTGCCCAGAGGCGCTGTCTGGGATCCAGATTGTCTAAGCAATTTAAACTTGTGTGGGCTGCAGCTTTGTGGTGGTTGTGTGGTTAGCATCAGCAATGGAGAGGGTTTCGGTGAAAAGCAATAGAAACCACTCTTAATCTAAAAGTAAACAGTTGTGCCGGGACCGGTTGGGCTCAATGGATAGAGCGTCGGCTTGGGGACTGAAGGGTCCCGGGTTCGATTCCTGTCAGGGGCATGTACCTTGGTTGTGGGCATATCCCCATTAGGGGGTGTGCAAGAAGCAGCTGATCGATGACTCTCTTTCATCGATGTTTCTAACTCTCTGTCTCCCTTCCTCTCTATACAAAATCAATAAAATATATTA